TCACTTAGCCCCCGGTCATTGACCGGGGGCTAAATGACGTGGCTAAAAGCAACGCAAAAGCCGGCGAGAAGCGACAAAAAGCCCTGAGAAAGCGGGTATCGCGCAGGAGCCGCATAGAGGCCCCTGGCGTGCGTTGCGATCCACGGCGAGGGGTTTACCAAGAGGGCGCGAACGGATGCGTTCTAGGGCCCGCTATGGCCCTCAGTATCGATGTGGCGCGGTCGGGTCCGGCGGGGTCCGCCGGGACCCTTTCAATGGACCACGGGCGCCCCAATTCACCCCCGGTCCGCCCCATTTAGCCCCCGGTCAATGACCGGGGGCTAAGTGAAGAGTCCGACGTTGCGCCACGTTCTCACTTCAACAACCGCTCCAGCGCCGTGGCGAGTCCTGGGGTCTCGAACTCGAAGCCCGCTTCGCGGAGTCGCTTCGGCAACACCCGCGCGCTGTCGAGCAGCAGCTCCGACATCTCGCCCATCGCCATCTTCAGCGCGAACTCGGGCACGGGGAGCAGCGTCGGGCGGCCCAGATGTTGGCCGAGCGTTTTGGTGAACTCGCGGTTGGTGACGGGCTCGGGCGACGTGGCGTTGATCGCGCCGTGCATCGCCTCGACGTCGCCGACGAATCGCAACGCGCGCACTAGGTCGGGCAGCGCGATCCAGCTCATCACTTGCTCGCCGCTGCCGATGACGCCGCCCGCGCCGAGCTTGAAGATCGGCAGCATCTTCGCCAGCGCGCCCCCCTTGGGGCTGAGCACCATGCCGAGCCGCATCTGCGCGACGCGGACGCCCGCCTCCCAGGCCGGAGCACCCGCGTTCTCCCACCACTGGCAGGTCTCGGTGAGAAAGCCTTCGCCCGGGGGCGAGTCTTCGTCGAGCGTTTCGTCGCCACGGTCGCCGTAGAAGCCGATCGCCGACGCCGACACCAACGCGCGGGGCTTGTTCTCTAAACCCGCGACCGTCTTAGCGATCAGCCGTGTGCTGTTGACGCGGCTGTCGATGATCAGCTTCTTCACCGCCGGGGTCCAGCGGTCGTTGGCGATCCCCTTGCCGGCGAGGTTGAAGACGAGGTCCACGCCCTCGAGCTTGGCCGCGTCGATCTCGCCCGACGACGGCTTCCAGTAGACCTCGTCAACAGCCGAGGAGGAGACCGGATGCCTCACTAGCCGTAGCACACGCACGCCGTCGGCGGCGAAGGCTTCGGCTAGCGCGGTCCCAACGAGTCCCGAGGCGCCGGTGATGGCGATCGTGCGCGAGGTAGACATAGTCGGTTGCTCCAGGAGGGCGGGGGAGCGGGCGGGGGGGCGATCGGCTCGTCCGGTCGGGATTATAGCCGCTCAGGGGCGGCGTTGTTTGCAGCGGCGGCTTGCTTGTTCGAGGATCCGCTGCTCTTCGCGGGTCAGGCTCGCCTGGCCGTGGGCCTGGATCTTCCGCAGGATCTCGTCGACGCGGTCCTCGGCGGGATCGCTCGTCGCGCTGTCGTCATCGTCGTCGTTGCGGTGGACACGGAGGTTCGGCTTGCGCTTGAGCAGCGACTTGAAAGACTTGCCGACGCCGCCCTTCCCCGGCCCGTTGTTCCACCGGGGCAGCGAGTCCGACAGCCGCATGCCGTAACGGAAGTAGACGAAGCCGAAGAACGCGCCGCCAAGGTGCGCGGTGTAGGCGACGTCGCCCGATTGCTTGACGGCGCCCATGATGTCCTGGGCGAGGAACAGGATTGCCATCACCCAAGCCGGCACCGGGAGGATGCCCATGAGGTAGACCTGAACGTGCGGGTACCACAACGCGAAGAGCACCAAGATGCCAGCGATGCCGCCGGAGGCGCCGAGCAAGATTCCGCGCGGGTTGCCGCCCGAAGTAATGTTCTCGACGACGCACCAAGTCAGTCCGGCGAAGATCGCGGCGGCGAAGAAGAACGTCAGGTACTCGCGCCCGCCGAGACGCATCTCGATAATGCGACCGAAGAAGAACAGCGCCAGCCCGTTGAACAACACGTGGAAGACGTTCTGGGTGCTGTGCAACAACGCGTAGGTCGCCAGCGAGTAGACACGCCACGGCTCGCGCCAGACGTCGGCCGGTAGCGAGAGGTAATCGCTGAACTGTCCTTGAAGGGGACGGTTCAGCAGCACCTGGGCGACGTAGACGCCGGCGATCACTGCCAGCAGCTTGCTGTTGGCGGTCCAGCTAGCAAAGCCGCCGCCCCGGCCGCCGCCATAGCTGTCGCGCCAGCCGCTGCCCGTGTCGTAGCTCCGTTCGTAGTCGCGGTCGTAGATGCCCATCTCTCGGCTGCTTGCCTACTGTCTCCGGGGACCTCCGCCGCCTCCCGGAGTGGGGGCGGCCGTCGGCACGGTCCTATCGTAGTGAGCCTAGCTCGGAAAGGGCAGCTACGGGCCAGAAGGCCCTTGGTAAGGCGGGCTATTCGATCCGTTCCGCGGTTTGCCGAACGCCGTTCTGGAAGAGTTCGACCGCCGTGCAATTGCCTTTGCCGTCGACTTTGAAGGTGAGCGTCGCCTCGACGACCTTGTAGAACCACTCGGTCTCACTGCGCGAGAAGACCTGAAAGGTGGGCTGGCCGGTGAGGCCGACCAGTAGCTTGCCCCCCTTGGTGGTGACGGTGAACTCGGCGCCGGGGGCGAGCCGGTACTTGCCGACATAGCGCTCGAGGACCTCCGCGGGCACGTCGTCGCTGACTTCGAACTCGCGCGGCTTTACCTCGGCGCCGGCGAGCGCCCGCACCAAGTCTTGCGCGAGCGTATCGACTTCCATCGTCGCGGTGTTGGTGAGCACGACGACGGCGACCTTGAGCGGGCGGTTGATGAACAGCGCCGAGTGGTAGCCGCCGGTCTGCCCGTTGTGCCACCGCGTCTGGCCGTCGCGGGCGACGTGCCAGCCGAGACCCATCGCGAAGTCGCTGTCCTCAATCGGCTTCTGGTGGACGCACCACGAGAGGCCGACCGCTTCGCGCAGTTCGCCCTCCTGCGGGTCGAGAAACGCTTTGGCGAAGGTGAGCATATCGTCGGCGGTGCTGCGGATCGCGCCGGCGCCGGCGAGCGTCTCGAAGTCCCAGTTGTGGTCCGGCACGCCCCCTTCGGTGTGCGGCGGCGCGAGGCGATCGCGACGTTCCTCGTCGAGCTTGATCGTTGTGTCGCTGAGCCCGAGCGGTTTGGCGATGCGCTTCTGCAAGAGCGACGCGTAATCGGTCTTCTGCTCACGAGCCAAGCAAAGGCCCAGCAGGCCGGCGCCCAGGTTCGAGTACTCGATCACTTCGCACGGGCGCTTGCGCGGCCGGTACGAGTTGAGGAACGCGCCGAGCCGCTTGCCGTCGTAGTCGGCGTAAGGGTTGTTGGGGTCGCTCGGCGCCAGGTTGTCGGGCAGGCGGGGCAGGCCCGACGTGTGCGTCGAGAGGTGCCAGAGCTCGGCCAGTTGATCGCCACGCGGCTGCAGCTCGACGCCCTTCGGCAAGAGCTGGTTGACGGGCGTGTGGAGCGTTACGCGTCCCTGCACGACGGCGTCGGCGAGCAATAGTCCGGTGAAGACCTTCGAGACCGAACCGATCTCATAGACCGTCTTGCCGTCCGGCGTGCGCGAGTCGTCCGCGGAGAAGCGGCCGTAGCCACGCACGGCTTGGTCGTCGCCACGGAGGACGCCGACGGTCATGCCGACGACGGTCTCGCTATCGACGTAGGGCTTAGCGAGGCGATCGATCGTCGTCTCGAGCGGCTCGGCGGCGGCGGTTCCAGTTGCGACGAGAAGGGCAAAAGTCAGAGGCAGTCGCATGGCGTCAACCGGTGTAAATGGAAGGGGGCGTTGGTTTGATGGTAGCTTGTTCGTTGACTTGCGATTGGTCTTGGGAACGAATCCGTTGAGTATGGGCGCCTGCGCGTCGATCGCGCTTATTCGAACCGTTTGGCGATCTGCCGCCCGCCGTTCTGAAACAGCTCGACGGCGGCGCTCTTGCCCGCACCGTCGACTTTAAAGGTCAGAGTGGCGTCGACGAGCTGGACGTCCCACTCGGACTCGCTGCGAGGGAGAAGCACCAAAGGCTCCTGCCCTGTTAGCTGCGCCGTAAGCTGTCCGTCCGATTCCGCAATGTTGAGGACATGTCCCGAAGGAAACTGGTACTTGCCAACGTGGCGTCGCATCACGTCGGACGATTCTGGGAAACTTTCCGCGAACCAACGATATGCGACCTCTCGTCTCTGGGGAGATCGCTTGATCGACTGGCGTTTCTCTTCGGTCATCGGGACCGCTTCCAGAACGATTTCGTCATCGGATCCGAGCGGTAGAACCACCAGACGAACCATGTCGCCCGGTTTGTTGCCCATTCGCGCTAGCAACTCGACAAGGTCTTCCTCGAAGCGCATCCGCCACCTGTCATGGTAGTTTTGCTTCCCGGAGGCGAGGATTTCATCAACCGCCACGCCATCGATCGACACGAGCCGGAACCACTCTTCCTCGAGACGCACTTCGGGCGCCTCACCTTGCCAGCGGACCGCGTCGAAGGGGGATCGCTTCGGGTACTCCACGTCCATTAGCCACCCGAAAAGGATCCCGCCGAGCCCCACTCCTAGGCAAGCGAAAAACCAGCGAAACGCGAACCGTTTGGCGGCCTTCGAGTGATCCGCTGTCTCGGGCAACTCGCCCACCGGCGCTGTCGCCGAGCCCAGCGAATCACGCAGCCATGCGAGTTGATCGCGCAGGTCCGTCATCACGGTTGAGGCGGCGAAACGATTCAACGCGGCGATGAACGCGTAAAGAACCGTCACGACGGCGGACATGATGACGAACTCGACGCCGGGGCCATCGACGCCAAGAAAAACCAGCAGCACGCCGACATAGAACGGACCCAAGTACCAGATGTGGACCGACCTAAGCATCGCCATTTGTTTCTCGACCCGCTCGATCTCGCTGTCGCAATACTCCCGCATCGACGCATCGAGTCGCGGTGTCGGCGTGCTGGTTCTCGTGCGATGGAGGCGATAGATAACGTAAATCGCGCCGAGGATGTTGATCACCATGCCGGCTGCCGACACCATCGGCAACGTGGCTCGGGCGATCACCTTCCCTTCCCACAGCATCGAGCCAAACGCGTAGATCACGAACAGGCCTGCGGCCGTCTCGATCAGGTCGCGACGAAAGACCTTGGCCGCAAACCGCTCCGTTGCGCGAGTCGTCGCGACGTACAGTTCCAGCCGCTTCTCCTCCGCGGGAGCCTCGCTGACCGCTGCTTTGTTCTCATCGCGCCAAGACTGGCCGAGCTGGTCGAAGTTCATCGCTCGCCCTCCGCTTGACAGTAGTCCTCTTCGAAACGTTTCCGGATACGGTGCAGACGCGTCCGGTACGCGCCGGACTCGACGCCGAGCACCTCGGCCGCATCGGTCTGGGCGACGCCGTCGAGATGCAGCAGCATCACCGCCCGGTCCGCTTCGTTCAGCGCAGCTAGGAATCGATCGAGCACCGCGGTGACGTTCGGTTCGCCCGCTTCGCCGGCGGCGCCGGCGAGCTGACCGACGTCGTCGTTGGCCTGTTTCAACTTCGTGCTCCGCGTGGTCGCCTTGCGACGCCAAGCTAGCGCGGTGTTGAGGGCGACCCGGTACGCCCAGGTGTCGAGGCTCGAGGCGTCCGCAAAGCTCTCCAGGCTTCGCCAGACCTGTAGCGCGATCTCCTGCAACAAGTCCTCGCGGTCGTCCGGAGGGGCGTACGCCCGCGCGATCCCCACCCAGCGGGCGTGGCTCCGCTCAAGCAGTTCGCGGAATCGGGTTTGTCGATCGGGGACGGGCATCCGCCGGCCTTGCAGGGAGCGGCCGGGCGGCCGTTTCGGTCGTCTCTACCCGCATTGGTAGCGCGACGGCCACCGTTGTTACACGGCGTGCAAAGAAAAGTCGAATGACAAGCCGCCCCTACTCCGATTTCCAGTTGGCGTAAGGGTCGGCGGCCTGGGCGGCCATGGCTTTTGAGAAGGCGACCCCGGCCGATCCCGCCGCGGCGCCGGTGAGCACCAGGCACAACGCGCCTCGCAGTGCGAAGTTCGACCAGCCGTTGGCGGCCAGCGTCGGCAACGGCAGACCTGTCGCGGCGAGTGCGGCCAGGAGGAGCAGGGCGTTGGCGGTCGTCACTTCGGCGAAGAAGTACCCGAGCAGCAGCATCCCACCGCCGAGCGTCGCGACGAGCGGGCCCGCCGCTGCGAAGCCGAGGCGGCGTTCGCCCTGGATGCCGGCGCCGCCGAGCGCGGCGCCGAGCAACGCGGCCGCCACGGCGCCGGCGAGTCTTGCGTAGGACAATGAACCGGAGGTCGCCAGCACGATCGCGACGCCGATCATCACCAAGCCCGGCAACCAGTCACGGAGCAACGCGACGCGCGGTGTCGCGTCGCTCATTTGGCGAGTCAGCAGCCACCCCGTCGCGAAGAGCAGCACGGTTAGGCTGGCAAGCCAAGCAATCGCTTCGCCGGTAGACCACTGCGAGAGCGTGTAGACGCTCCCCCACAACATCCGCAGCGGCAAGCCGATCGCGAGCAGAGCGCCCAGCGTGAGGGCGACGTAGCGCGTCGTGCGGCCGCCGCTGGCTAGCATCGCAACGATCGCCGCGACAACCACGGCGGCGGGGAGCCACTGGCTCGCCTCACTCGGCGACAAGAACTTCGTGAAGGCCGGCGACAACCCGGCCGCCCAACCGGCGGCGCCGCTCCCGAGCGGCGCCGCCAGCGCGGCTTGTCCCACGATGTAGGCGACGCCAACCGCCACGGGCCACGCGACGCGGTCCGACGATCCCGCTCGGAGCAGCACCTGCCGCAGCAAGAGCGCCGCGGCGCCGGGCAGGACGCCCCCCACCAGAATGTCGGCCGGTCCTAACATCGCTTACATCTCCAAATTTGAATCTGTAGGAGGCGTCTCCGACGCCGATTACGCGCACCACACCGTTTCGGCCAGGAGACTGTAATCGGCGTCGGAGACGCCTCCTACAGTTCGTGTGTCACTTCTTGACGGCTTCAAAGCTCACCGTGACGCCGATGCTGTCGCCGATCGGGCCGACCATGAAGTCCATGTCGAAGTCCGAACGCTTCAGCGTTGTTTGGCACATGAAGCCCGCCCGGTAGTCTTTGAACGGCGTTTCGCCTTCGCCGAGCAGCTCGATTGGGAGCGTCACTTCTTTCTCGACGCCGTGCATCGTCATCTTGCCGGTGACGTTGTAGAGCGTCTTGCCATCGGCGCTCGCGGCGGGCGCGACCGCGGTGCTCTCGAACGTGATCTGCGGGAACTGCTTGACGTTGAAGAAGTCGGCGCCCTTGAGGTGCTCGTCGCGCTTCTCGTTCATCGTGTTGAGGCTGGCCGCGTCGATCGTGAATCTGAACTTGCACGCCTCGGGGCTGGCCTTGTCGAACTCGACCGTCCCTTTCACGTCGCGGAACATGCCGTAGGTGTAGCTGTAGCCGAGGTGGCTGACGCTGAACACGACCGACGTGTGGGAGGGATCCACCTCGAAGTTCGCCGCGCGGGTGGTAGGAACGGCGGCAACAACAGCGACCGCGGACAACAGCAACTGGCGAGTGAGCATCCTTCAAATCTCCGGTTGGGAAACGACTAAGCAGCACGGTAGGGGCAGCACGGCAGGAGCGTCCACGTTGTGGCCGCGTTAATCCTTGGTTGGTTGGCATCCGCTCGGCTTGCCGAGCGCCGGCGAGTCGCGGACGCGGACCATCAGTTCGTTGATCGAGCGGAGCTCGCTGGGCGTGAGGTGGCCGAGCGTGTCACGGTGCATCTGTTCGATGATCGGGTCGAGCTTGGTAAGCAGCCGGCGGCCTTTTGGCGTCAGCCGGACAAGCACGACGCGGCGGTCGCCCTCCTTGCGGGAGCGGGCAGCGAGCTGGAGCTTCTCCAGGCGGTCGACGAGCCGCGTCACGTCGGGCGTGGGAGTGACCATCTGGACGCCGATCTCGCCCGAAGGGACCCCGTCGCCGCCGATGCCGCGGACGATCCGCAGGATGTTGTAGAGCGGGCCGCTGATCCCGTGGGGCTTCAAGACACGTTCGCCGGCCTCTATCAAGCGGGTGGCGGTGCGGACGATGTTCAAGGTCGCCTCCTGCTCGGGCAGGGCGAACTCGTGGCGTTTGCGGAGCTCTTGGGCAAGGCTAGGCATGGCAGGGGTACGGCGGCGGCCGATTATTTGTTCTAACAAATATCGTTTTGCGGAGGGTTTGACAAGGCGGGTCTTCGGAGGGTGACATGAAATACGGATCGCAGGGATAAGACAGGGATAAGATGCAAGCAACGAATGACCGATCCCTCCCAGCCAGCTGAGAACGACCGGATGAGAAGGCAGACATTCCACAACGCCGCCTTGCTGGCGCCAATTCTCGTGGTCGCTTTTGTGTCTGCCTTGGGCGCGGAAGACCCGTCGAGCGAGCCATCGCGACAACTACCCCCGGGTCCGTTGGGCGAAGCCGTTGAGTTGGGACGACAACTCGTCCATGAAACCAGCCGTCACCCGATGTCAGCGCCCTTCGTCGGCAATGACCTGAACTGCACTTCTTGTCACCTCGACGACGGCGAGCATCCAACCGCCGGAAGCTTCCTCGGCGTCGCCACGGCCTATCCCGCCTGGTCGCCGCGCGAGAATCGTGTGATCACTCTCGAGGACCGCGTCTTGAACTGCTTCATGCGGAGCGAGAACGGCATCCGACCGCCGAACGGGAGCGAAGTCTCCGTCGCCATCAGCGCCTACATCACGTGGCTCTCCCAGGGAGAGTCCATCACGATGAATCCCGATCAGCCGCTCGGCCCCAACGCGGTCGAGCCGGTCCGCTTGGACCCGGCCACCGCGGACGTTGATCGCGGCGCCGAGCTCTACGAGACGCACTGTGCGGCGTGCCATCGTGAAGACGGGTTGGGGTCGGACGACGGACCGCCCGTGTGGGGCGATCGCTCGTACAACCGTGGCGCCGGCCTCAGCCAGAACGTCAAGCTAGCGTCGTGGCTGAAAGTGGCGATGCCGCTGGGCGACCCGATCCTCACCGAGCAAGAGGCGCTCGACATCGCGGCGTACGTCAATTCGCAAGAGCGGCCGGAGTTCGTGCTGGAGGAGCACCTGGGGACGCAAAAGCCGCATGCGGCGCCGTAGCAAAAGGCGAGCCGGGTGGCGTTAGCCCCCGGAGGGACCCTAGCACCCGCTGCACTCCGGGGGCTAACGCCACCCGGCTCGCAGGCAGATCGACTCTGTGAGTTGGTTCGGCGGTGCTTCCCCTTCTCTGTGCCCGCCTTGCTCCCTACGCTTGACTTATGGCGGACGAAGGCGACAGCACGACGATCGAGACCACCCCCGACGGGGACGACGGCGCTGCTGCGCAGACGTTACCCAAGACGCAACCAGAGTTTTTCGCCCGCGCCGCCGAGAAGGTGCGGACCAAGTTCCCCGCGACGCCCGGCGTTTATCTGTTTCAGGATCAGAAGGGACGCGTCCTCTACGTCGGCAAGGCGAAGAACCTCAAGGCCCGGGCCGGCAGCTATTTCCTCAAGGCCGCCGCCGAGGACAGCCGCACCGCGCAGCTGGTGGCCGAGGCGTACGACATCGACTTCATCGACGCCGAGTCGGAAGTCGACGCGCTCTTGATGGAGTCGCGGCTCGTCAAAGACATCCAGCCCAAGTTCAACCGCGACCTGCGCGACGACAAGTCGTTCCCGTACCTGCAGATCACCACCTACGAGGACTTCCCCCGGGTCGAGATCACCCGCGAGCCGCGCGCCACCGCGGCGAAGCTCTACGGGCCGTTCACGAACGTCTACGCCCTCCGCGGCGCGCTGCAGGTGCTGCAGAAGATCTTCAAGTTCCGCACGTGCAGCCTCGACATCGAAGAGAACGACGAGCGCTGGCGGTGGTTCCGGCCGTGCCTGTTGGCGTCGATCGACCAATGCACTGCGCCGTGCAATCTGCGCGTTTCTAAAGAGGACTACCGCAAGGACATCACCCGCCTAAAGACGTTCTTAGAAGGGGGCCGTTCTCGGCTGCTGAAGGAGCTGAACGCCGAGATGGAGGAGGCGTCGAAGTCGCTGCGCTTCGAGAAGGCCGCTCGGTTGCGGGACGAGATCCGACTGCTTGAACGACTCGACGAACGCGGCGAGCTCGAGGAGGACGTGCAGCCCGAGGTCTTCTACGTTGATCCTAAGAAAGGCCTCGCCGGTTTGCAGAAGGTGCTCAAGCTGCCGGAGATGCCGCGGGTCATCGAGGGCGTGGACATCGCCCACCTCGGCGGCAACGAGACGGTGGCGTCGCTCGTGCAATTCATCGACGGCCTGCCGTTCAAGCCGGGCTACCGCCGCTACCGCATCCGCGACGTGCAAGGGATCGACGACTTCGCCAGCATCCGTGAGGTCGTCGCCCGACGCTTCGGTCGGCTCGAACAAGCGGGCGAGGCGTTCCCCGACATCCTGTTGATCGACGGCGGCAAGGGTCAGCTCTCGCACGGCATGGAGGCGTTCGCGTCACTGGGCATCACACCGCCGACCGTGATCTCGCTCGCCAAGAAAGAGGAGCTCGTCTACCGCCCCGGCGACAGCGAACCGTTGCGGCTTTCACGGCACTCGTTCGCGCTGCGGCTGTTGCAATACGTCCGGGACGAGTCGCACCGCTTCGCCCAGCACTACCACCA